GTTTCCAATTAGAACTGAGGACCAATACACTTTGTGGTTAATATGTATGTACGGTTGGAGCAAATATTTGGGTTAATTTTCAAATATTTGTCCCATTGGGTACAAACATAATATCTATTGCAATGTGTTTATTGTTTTACTAGTTTTTACCTGTGACTTTGTTTGCGTGATTGGGATATGTTCACTAAAACATAGATAGAACGAGCCTATATACTTCTCCATCCTGTATATTAACTTTATACCATTTTTAATAGTGGTAGGTTAAGCTGTTAAGGCGCATAAGATAACAAACAAATAAACAGACTTTCACATTTATAATATTAGTAAGAACGATATTATATTATTAAATTTATATTAGAATAAAGTAATACGTTTTACCGCGTGGTCCCGGCATAGAATAGGCCAATCCCCTACTATCCCGTAGGTGTCGTAAGAGACGATTTTGAAAATTATTTCACCGTTGGAAAGGTACATTATCCCTGAATGTCATAGACTACTTTTTATTTGGATAAATATATATTTTCAATAATTAATACGCTTTTAATTAATTTTTACCCTCCCAAAATAATTGTATGATTTTTTTTTTTTGTTATAAGCATAATTTACGCATTTTGTGTTTATTTTATGATTATAATCTACATCTATAACTTTTTTTATGTTGTGTAGCTATTTTAAATGTTTGAAGGAGTGTATACGCCAAACGATTTACCTGAACGGAATTTATTATTCTTATGATAAATAAAGAACTTTTGAAAACAAAAAAAAAAATAAAAACTATGCTACCTATAACATGGCATACGTTAAAAATATTCAAAAATACTACTTCTAGCTTTACAAAAAAGTCTGCGATACCATATACCTAAGTTTAATATCTCAGCCAAAAAGATGGTATTTTATGTTAAAAATCAAATAAATATTAGAAGCTGTTCATTTTAAAATCTTAGAGAATATCAATGCAGTACTTTCATACATGCCAAAATACCAACCTTACTTAAAAATATGTTGAACAGTTTAAATGTTACACAAACAAATATCGTACTCGTGCGAAGCCGGGACGCGTAGCTAGTATTAAATAAAGGTCACGTATGAAAAACACGCTCATTCAGTTAAAACGAGGAATGAATAATAAAGTGAGACAAAAAGTGATATGAAATGGTGTTTGTAGTCAGACGTCACAAAGCGTTTATTTGATAATTAAGCAAAACTACCAACATTACTACCACTCACGGATTATCTTTATTGAAAATAAAATTTAAATGTTACCTAATAGTGAAAGGGGGGAGGGGGGGGGGGAATAGTAATGGGTTCTTACAGCTCCATTGCCTGCAATATTACTATCATATTATTATTATTTCTAGCAATGTAAACCCTATCAGGTCGACCTCCACGCGGTTCTCCCTGGGAACTATCGTGGTTAATTCTTGTCGAATTCTTCACGATGGGCTGACGGACCTGCCTTCATTCTCACCTATCATCTATCAACCCCGGCAATATTTACCGATAGCGCAGGTGGAGTTACCATTCTATTTTCAATATATTGCTGGTAAAGGGACTGGTAGTCTTCATTACTAACAATCCGTCCCCCCTCCCCCCCTCCCCATAAACAACGGTTACCACTTACCATCAAGTGGGCCGTCAGCTTTTTTTTTATACAACTTATAATGGCAAACAAGCTGACGGCCCACCTGATGGAAAGTGGTAACCGTCGCCTATAGACATGAACAGTACCACGAACATAACAGAGTATACTGTTTCGCCCATGATACCCCCCATGCGTTGCTATACCTGAGGACTCAGGTGTTATTCCTCTGTACCCTGTAAATTCACGCCATATCGCACTCTTCAAACCGAAACACAACCATGCAAACACAACTGCTTCACGTTAGAAACACGAATGGGACAGAGGTACCCAAGCAATCGACTTTTGTACAAAGTCTCCCTCTGGTAGCTTATTTTCTTCTCGCAGTACATTCTAAAACAACCTTGTTACCATTACCAAAGCAAAGGCACCAACCGTACTCTTTCTTCATTAAGATTTCAAGCGGTAAATTAATTCAAAAGATCATTTGTACACGAATGTATGTTGTTTACAGGCAGTTTATTGCCAGTAAACAACATACAAAATGCTAACGTTGCTTTAAATTAACATAAGTAGCAATAATTAATATGTTTAGACATATAAATTATTGTTACTTTTAATTCAATTATTATTTAATGAAATCTTTTATCACTGTGAAATTTTTTATCACCAGTGATTGATTATGGGTGTGATTTTTGCTCATTGTGATTTAATTTCACCTTAGGCTTATTCACTTTAGGCTTATTAATATATATATACAAGAGGTTCAGTTTTCATTCCAAAGTTGTCTAGTGCTCATTCTGTTATGCTTTTAAATGTATATATATATATATATATATATATATATATATATATATATATATATATATATCACCCTTCAGAGGTTAGCGCAGGCGGAGTTACCATATTATTTTCACCCATCATTCCAAACCTTGTTGTCTAGTGTTCACTTTTCTCCCTCGAAATCCAAAGTCGAGTGGGCCCGATGTATTCCTATGCTTTTGCGCACCAAGTTGGCTCCGGTTCTTACGCGTCTTTTTCGGCTCAGCTACTCACACAAAGTTTTGGAAGACTGGGGGAAAGGGATCAGATGTTAGTGATGGAGACAGAGTACGGCTTTCGACAGGGACGTTCGGCCATTGCTAGCGAATATACCCAACCAGGTCGACCTCCTCGCATTTGGTTCGCCAGTTTTCTCAAGGAACGTAGAAACTATCATGGTTAGTTCCCGCAAGGCTGTGATGACTCTGTTTCTTCTGCATATCATCATGATGTGCATTATATAACTGGCCTGTTTTCACTCCTCTCATCTATCACCCTTCACTGGTGCTCCGCCAGCGTATCCCGATTAGCGCAGGCGGGGTTACCAATATAATTTTCACCCATCAAAAAAAATGTATACAAAGATATCTTGCCCTACCTTGAAAAATAATCTTAAATACATCAATAACACTTGCTACTATTTGAAGTGAGATATAAATATAATTTTTAATATCACAGTGCTAAGGAGTAAAACTCTTTACAAACCCACTCGGCTATCTGTTGTGATTTCATTTCAATACGTTATTATACCTCCTTTTTCTTCGTCTAGATCTGAATCTAGATTTGTACCCAAGCATCAAATATCTCAATATGGCGTAGGCTTATTTACCACCTCAATAGTACAAATAAATATAAAATTTTTTCCCCCCAAATCGGCAAATAGATTTCCAGGACTTTTATCCAATCACGAATTTATATTAGTTTTCACTGCGTTTCGCCATGTGTCATAAAATGAACGTCCAAAAAAAAAATCGGCCAAATTACTCCAAACCTATTTCCACTCTTTCCAAGAATTTCCTTTCTCCAAAATTTCACGAATAGAAAACTTTTCATCCAGAATTGCGGAAAAAAAAATACCCAATCTGGCAACACTGAAAAGTAAGCACGAGTATGTGAACATTCAATAAATATCGTCTGTGTAGGTAGCAAATTCGATTCAAATCCATTCCGCTATTTAGACATAATTGAGTAACTAATATACAAATATCTTTACGAAAATTCTACACGATATACGTTTTTATTACCAATTTACCCTCTTTTGATGTGTTGTTCCTTTATTTACTTTTGAAAAGTGACGATTATGCAATGTGTTCTTAAAATAAAATCATTTATTGACTTTATAAATAAAAAAAAAAGTTATATTCAAGCAGCTATATTAACATTTTTCAATAGTCATTCTCTATAGGGGAAAAGGTTTGTTAGTAAAGGGATCTAATTTACCCATTGCTAGCAATACATCCTATCAGGTCGACTTCCACACGGTTCCTCCTGGGAACCATCTTGACTAATTTATCGTTGAATTCCTCACGATGGGCTAACTTACCTGCCTTTTCATCTTCACCAATCATCCTTCACTGTTCCTAAATTGTCCAGAATCTAGGAACTTATTTACGTAAAATATACTTATAAACCAGTTATGAAGGTCATCTCCGTATTTATTTGTTTGAACACATAATACATGTAATATACATAAACTTAACACATTTTATTGTGATATGTAAACGTGTAATGATCCCTATTAGTAGTAAGTAGTAACTAGTCAAGTTTTATGTACGTACTCAACAGTGCAGTGTCGTAAAACAACAACGGTGGAAGATTTTCACGAGAGATTCGTATAAGACTACGGCAACTAGATGTAGTCCCAGTTTACTGCCTATTTCAGTTAATGACAGAGTAAACGTTCAGTTAAATCTCTTAGCACTATTACAATTGCATTGTAAAATACATTAGTGCTATTTTTATATAAATCACTAACTCACCTGCTGGGCTATAGTGTAGGTTGCCTGTAGACGAGAACAGGGTAAGGGGCGTCACAGGATATACGAGTACTGTGATGCTCTTGGTATTTCTCACGTGTTGTCATTAATTAGTTATTATAGATTAAGTTATTATATATCTATACTTTACTATTTCTTTGCTATCTTAAATTTATTATTTTTTAGTTAATTGTTAAATCTTAAATTTCTAATCAAACTATAGTTGCGTACAACTTGTTTTTTTTTTTTTAATTAATGCTAATGAAATGGTAACCCCGCCTGCGCTATCGGTATACACTGGCGGGGCACCAGTGAGAGAGGGTCAAATGGCCCATCGCGACAAATTTGACAATAATTAATCATGATGGTTTCCAGGGGGAACCGCGTGGAGGTCGACCTGACAGGATATATTGATTAGTAATAAGGATTAATGTCCCCATTACTAACAAATCAGAAGATTTAAACCCCCCGCGTATAGCTTGTTGTCGTCGGGTGTAAGCCATGTGGTCCCGGCATAGATCATTCCTTCCTTTAAAAGAAGACTAAGGGAACTAAATATTTGAGGGATGAGCAGAGTTCCTCTATAACTATCTCATTTGTTAAAATTAATGATTTTGTTTCAGGTATCCTGGATTAGGAGAAAGGACTACCACCTCCTGACTGTTGGTCTGACCACATACAGCTCGGATCAGAGATTTCAAGCCATACATTTACAGCACTCAGAGGTAATTAGGATATAATATTTGAAAATGTCTTAAAAATCAAAATGTCTTGACTTAAAAAAAAATATTAGGTGATTAAAAAAATTGGGATTTTTTCTTATTTTTAATGTTTATAACAACTGTCAGTTTAATAGTGTAATTCGATCGAGAAAGATCGGCTGGTTTTGGAATCAATTCGTTATCCTTAATCAAAAGCAGCTGTGACACGAGCAAGCCAGACTGGTTTATCTTTTGTTAAAAGTTTTGTATGTAACCATTATATTTCAACTATGTATAAGAAAAAGAATTAAGGAAGTCAATCCAGTTTTTGTTAATATAAAAAAAGAAGGAAAACAGCATTTTTTTCTAATAATATCAATTTTAAGGTCTTATTCCTACTTTTGAAGTAACCTCTAAAGAGAGAGGTCCTTAAAGTTTTATGATATTTGTATGGTCTTGTCGTTTACGCAATGATAAAATTCTGAGCCGATTTTGAGGTTTTTTTGTGCTTAGTACAGTTAACTCAGATATTGGTTACGTGCAAATTTCAACACATCTGAAAGTAGCTATAATTTTTTAAAGAAAGACCGAAATTATTTTATGCATAACTAAAAAGTTAAGGGAGAATAAACTTTTCCAATTTTTAAGCACTTTAGTAAACTTATATTTCCGTTAAGGTAATTTTGTAAATAAAAAACCAAAGTGACTGACACACCCCGAAGGATAAGGAAGTTGAAGTGGCAATGAGCTGGTCACATAGCTCGTAGAACCGACAACAGATGCGGAAGAAAGGTTCTTGAGTGACCCCTTACGGTCAAACGCTGTGTAGGATGACCTCCCCCCCCCCCACTAGATGAAATGACGACCTCAAATACATTGCTGAGCTAGAATGGCAAAAATACTGTATGTATGTGTATTAGTAATGATTCCACGTCAGCTTGTTTGCCATTCTAAGTTATATAAAAAAAAAATAGATGAAATGACGACCTCAAATGCATTGCAGCAGGGAAAAAAGGATTATTAGTAATGATTCGACAGCCTCATTGCTAGCAATACACGCTGTCAGATCGAGCTCCACTCTGTTCCCTTTGAAAGCCATATTGATTAATTATTAATCGATTGGCCACTACGGGCTAACTGACTTACCTTCATCCTCACCTGTCACCCTTCACTGGTACCCTGCCAGCGTATACCAATAGCATAGGCGGGGTTACCATTCCATCTTCATCCATAAAAAAATGCATTGTAAGGAGCGAGTGGATGTTGGTGGTTCAGGACATTAGGACATTATGGCAGTATATGGAAAGCCTATGTTCAACAGTGGACAGATAATGGTTAATATAAAAATGAATTTATAAATAAAAAAAAGGATAGAAAATTCTTATTTTGTACAAAGGAAATTTTTTTCACGAATTAATCTCTCGTCAATTTCGTTACAAATCAGTTGGCTGGCAGAAAATCCGATTAATTTGGCGACTGTAAACAAAATTAATTGGGCAACCGATAAAACCAAATTTCTGGTGAATTCGTATCGATATACCAACGGATCTGAGTTCACCCTCACTTTTCATCCCTTATTAGTATCTGCGAGTGAAAACCAATAGTAAAGTAGAATCACTATTTTATTTTAATCCATGAAAAATATATTTCCATAGATTCATAATGTTTACATAGATTGTACATATATAATATAGTCCTGTAGCTGTTTTAATAAAACTTAATAAAAATATAAACAATTGAATCATTGATCAAACTATAAAACTACACGCTAATATCTTAATTAAAACAGGAATGGTAATAAAAATATAAACAATACTCTGTTAGGTTGAACTTTCTATCAGGTGGACCGTCAGCTTGTTTGCCATTCTAATTTGCATAAAAAAAATCTAATTGATCAAAAAATTAATTAATTAACTGAATGTTTATATTTATTACTAATTTAATTTTAAGATTATTTTTGTGATAAATTTAACATAACTTAATTATGTTTTTATTAAATAATATTAAGGCAGACTACGCAAATGCATAGCCGAAAACAGCCCAAAATTTTAAATTCTTGGATGGGTATAACTTTGTATTATAAATCACATACAGATTTACTTGATTGGTCAGTGTGTATTTAAAAATCAAAACTGGATATCAAAATGTTATAATTATTTATTACGAGTCTAAAAACTAGGGCTCTTTATTTTTAAGTGATTTAAAAAACACGAGGTTCGTGAGGCTCAATTCAGTCGTATTTTTTTATACTTCGCATCTCATAACTCCGTCAGTTATAAACCGATTTCGAAAATCCTTTTTTTATCTAAATATAAATACTTACAGATTAGCTCCCTAAAAGTTTTATCAAAATGGATTCAGTAATTTAGTTATTAAATCAAAATAATTGGTTTTGCCACGATTGAAAACAATGTTTTTTTTTTTGGAAAACAATTTTAAATTATATTTAAAAAGAATACAATTCAGTCTACAGTTAATTGACCGTTTATTTTTTGCATTATTTTTTAAGTCATTGCTCCATCTACTCGTATATAATCTATGCACACTTTCTATAATAAAATACAGTCATGATGAAAACACGACTTTATTAACACTAATTATGTGAAACAATAAAAATAGCGAGCAGCAAAGAAGACTTAAAAGATTATTTCCATAAGCAATTAGCGGGGCATCCTTTTGTTTTTATTTTGAAACAATCTTGCAGATTTAGCAAAGTATTAACGTCTCCCTTTACACGAGCGGGTAATAAAATAAAGGTACCTTAATGTAAAAAAAAAATTACTCAAAAATTCATATTTTTTTATACAACTTAGAATGGCAAACAAGCTGACGGCCCACCTGGTGGAAAGTGGTAACCGTCGCCTATAGACATGAGCAGTACCATGGACGTAACAGAGTATACTGTTTCGCCCATGATACCCCCCATGCGTTGTCATTCCTAAGGACTCTGGTGTTATTCCTCTGTACCCAGTAAATTCACGCCATATCCCACCCTTCAAACCGAAACACAGCCATGCAAACACAACATAGAGGACGGCTACTACTTTCCATTAAATGGCCATGAGTTTGTTTACTGTTCTCAGTTACATAAAAAACCCCTAAAAATGAACTTCGATATTAACACCACCAATTTAAAAATGCACCACCGAAGAGAGAGAAACATTTTAAATTAACTAGTCCTTGCATTAAATATTGGAACTAATTTCGTAGCTAGACAGAATAAAAAGAAAAGGACCAAAAACAGATCAAGGCGTTTATATAGAAATCCTGATTTTTATTTGAAGAGACAATTTCGTCGTCCCAACGGACATGGTATTGGCACAGCAAATATTAATACTGAAAAGTAGGGATTAAATTTAATTTATTCAGTTTAAAAACGGACTGAAAATAGAAAACTGGAAAGGAACGTTCTAGTCAATATCTGCGAAGTCCATATTGTCCCTAATTGTAAGGCAATATGCTATTCCATTGGGTCTTAAATTAACGAAGTTGTTACACAAAAAAAATATGATATTTTTATCTTTATACAAGTAATATACGCCAAGCTCACACGCACACGCACACACACACGTACACACACCAGAGGGAGAGTTTGAACAAAAGTCGATTGCTTGGGTACCTCTGTCACATTCGTGTTTCAACCGTAAAGCAGTTGTGTTTGCATGGCTGTGTTTCGGTTTGAAGGCTGGCGTGAAGGGATATGGCGTGAATTTACTGAGTACGGAGGAATAACACCTGAGTCCTCAGGAATGGCAACCCGTGGGGGGTATCATAGACGAAACAGTATACTCTGTTATGTCCATGGTACTGTTCATGTCTAAAGGCAACGGTTACCACTTTCTATCAGGTGGGCCGTCAGATTGTTTGCCATTCTAAGTTGTATAAAAAATAAAAACACACACACACACACACACACACACACACACAGAGAGAGAGAGAGAGAGAGAGATAGAAATACATGCACGCTCACACGCGCGCGCACACATCACACACACGCAAAAGTGTTTGAGTGTATAGAATAAATTTTCTGTATTAAAAATACCCTCTGTAATTTTTTTTTTGACTAGTTACATATATTTACATATATTTTCTACTTTATCATTACTTGTTTATTAGTTGTTTATAAATATTTAAATAAGTTTTCTTTTGTGGAGTTTTTAGTGTGATAATTATACTCTAAGTGAGAATAAATAATTTTTTGTTACAGGATTGGACATTAAAAGTGCGATTCGTGCAGAAACGAGATGCTGGCATTTACGAATGCCAAGTATCCTCACATCCACCCACTAGCATATTTCTACGTCTCGACGTAGTCGGTGAGTCCAATTTAATATTCGAGGACTGTACAAAAGACGTCTGCTTGAGTAGCCATGTTCCATTCGTGTTTCTGCCATAAAATAGCTGTGTTGTGAAATTACATGGGTATGGAGGCATAACACTGTCATCATCATCATAATCAGCCTTCACCTGTCCACTGCTGAACATAAACCTCCCCTTTGGGGGGGTTTTGCCAGTAGTCGCCGCGCTTGGTAGCCGAATTAGCAACCGCAGTTAGACTTTGAAGATATTTTAAGAGGAACGCTGCTCATACCTCACCCTCCCTTAGTCGCCTCTTACGACACCCACTGGAAAGGAGGGAGTAGCCCATTCTATGCCTGGACCACACGGCCAGAGCCAAACCACGGGATAACACTATAGTGCTAAAAAATGGCAACGCATAAGTGATATCATGGAGTCGTGATAATCTGCGATTATGTTTCACCCCTCAGGGGTGAGGCAGTTAAATTATAAGGTACAAAGGTATCTATAATCTTGAGGATTGCGATGCATATATACCATGGAGTTATGGTATTCTATAACGTCCATAGTGTGTTTCATCTTTATAGGCGACTATCATCTATTGAGTGAACAGTGAGCTTGTTTGTTAAGTATCAATATGAAAAAACCCACGCATGAATAGCTTATTATTTCTATAATTAGGTAAAAAAACATCTCATTATAGCCCATTGAGAAGTAGAGAAATATACAATATATTATATATTTCGAATAATAATTATAATAGCAATATTATATATATATATATATATATATATATATATATATATATATATATATATATATATATATATATATATATATATATATTTTCCATTGAACTGTTGAATAATGATAATATTTTAACAGGAAATTAAATATATTTCCTTTTAAAAAAATTCTATTTAAAACGTATTAAAATTTATATGGACCAGTGAGAAAGGGAGTCTAATGATTGAAATAAAAAATGAATGGTCACATTCAATTTGGAATTAGCAAATATTTCGCGTAATATATATACGGCCCACCTGATGGCAGTGGCGGATTTGCCCTAAGGCCCAGTAAGCTCGGGCCTAGGGTAGCCAGATATTAAGGACGGCCAATCGTGATAAAAAATACACTGAACTAAACTTTCTTGTTATCAATAAATAACTCCAAATACGTAAAAGAAACCTCGGAAAATATTACAAACTAGCAGATATTATAGTTAACTAAATTCATGAATCAATTTCGATAAAAGTTGACAAAAAAGTAAATTCATTGTGTACTCGATATGATGGGTGCTGAGAAAGAGGTGGCTGGTACTTACTACATGGCCTGGGGTCTAGGGTGACCAAGACTGCAAATCCGCCACCGCCTGATGGTAAATCCCATAATTACCTGCAATACCAGGGGTATTACGCGCACGTTGCTGACCGTGAAGAAATCACTTTACCCCTTTTTTGTAAAACCCCATGCTGTAGTCTCTTGGAAAAACCTCGACAGTCATTCCAAAACCTGAGCGTTCTTGAGAGAAAACATCTCTTTCAACAATATATTTCTCGGTATGCCCAATGGTTGACTGGTAGAGAACACCGTCAACTGTTAAGTCCGCCATACGTACATAGAATTTCACTGTGCATTGAAGTTTAAATAAATAAATAAATATATAACGATTGAAATTGCAGAACGATCGTTAGTCGCTGAAAGCCGTCGCCTGTCACTGTACTGTAACTATACTCAGCGCATATTGCACTTGAGAAGTTATTTCCGTATACCTTAGCTTAGAATTTTTCATAAAGATATATTTATTTTTAAAGTAGCTATTTCTTACTGACAATTTATGATTTATTTTATTTTAAACTACATTGAGTACACATATGTGTCCTCAATAATATTTTAAATGTATTATATTTATTTATTTATAAAAACACTAACAGAATATTGTATTAAAACATACATATTTTGATTATATAAATAGAGCCTTAAGTCTCAGAAATGAGTCAACTTTTTGTCTGCAAATTGTCAAATTGGCTGACTCGTTTTTTTTTTTTTTTTTTTACCAGTGTTCTATAATTATATTCTGACCTAAGAATTGTATTGTTTAATAAATATTTACACCTTAAAAAGGTGCAGAATTTATATGACAAAAGAAATATAGAAGTTATAAAGGAATCACTCATAACTATTTATAATTTGTGCTTAAGTGAATTAGTACTAAACTAAACTAAATAACACTACATGTTAAAAACAAAAATTCCAAATTAAACGTAGATTAAATAAAAAACTATTTATAACGCAAAATTGTATGAAAAAGTTGACATGTTTTTTCTCGCAGCATTTGTATGGAGACATTCTATCTATATAATGTAAGGTTACAAGTGATTTGATTAAAAGATACCTTAATCAAACTAAGCATATATATATAGATATATATATATAACAAACGACACGTGTTTCGCTTCCACACGAGGCATCTTCAGGCAAATTATTGAATGAATGAATGAGTGCGTGAACAAAATGGCTGTCGAAGATTGATGGCTAATATGGAAGGTTGTGGAACTTCTGGTAGTAATAGTGAATGAATGAATGAATGAATGAGTATACTTTATTTGCATTATACAATATAGGAAATAAGCAAGGCAATTTACAAACACAACGATACAATTGTATAAGTACAGTAAGGCGGTCTTATTGCTGAGAGCAATGAGAGCAAGTGGTGGTCGATCTTCTAGTGTTGGCAGTCACATACATATTAATGGTACTGGAATTAAACCAAATAATCCTAATCAAATAACCAGTTTATGAGTTAATCCATTACAAAGTAACATACAAAAAAAAACAAATATTTCCTCTTCATAATGTTACTAGCTTTGACCTGCAACTTTGTCCAGGTGGCCGGGATAAAAAGTAGTCTATATCTTTTTTTATCCCATACATTACGTGTATACCAAATTCCATAGTATTGTTTAAGCTGTGAAAGCGCTATAAGGTAATAAACAAACTTACTTACTTACTAAATACTATCGTGAAGCAGTTGTGTTTGCATGGCTGTGTTTCGGTTTGAAGGGTGGGATATGGCGTGAATTTACTGGGTACAGAGGAATAACACCTGAGTCCTCAGGAATGGCAACGCATGGCGGGTATCATGGGCGAAACAGTATACTCTGTTATGTCCATGGTACTGCTCATGTCTATAGGCGACGGTTACCACTTTACATCAGGTGGGCCGTCAGCTTGTTTGCCATTCTAAGTTGTATTAAAAAAAAACTTTTTATGTTTCCGTCTTTTAACTAGCCGACCTCCTTTTCCCATCATTTCTTATTATATACATTCTCGTTTTTATTCCATTTCTTTAGCCATCACATGGTTACCATTATATTATTATTTCTTGTTCATTTTACTGATGATATCAGGATATGTTATCTCTTGTTATGTGAATTATCCACCATTATTTTGGCTTTCTTCTTTTCTTGGATACATGTTCCAACTTATTCTTGTCTTTTTCAATCTTTTAACATGCCTAGTATCGTCATTATAACAGCCTTTAACTGTCCACTGCTTTGGGGGATTTTGCCAATAATTGTCACGCTTGGCAGGCGGATTGGCAGCCGCAGTTAGATTTTAGAGATGTTTTAAGAGGAACGCTGGTACTCATCTCTCGCTCTCCCTTATTCGCCTCTTACGACACTCACGGGAAAGGAAGGCGTGGCCTATTCTATGCTGGGGCCACACGGCCCATACGTAGCATACTTCATATTGTTTGTATCATAGGCCTTCCCCCAATAGAGCCAATGATACAACAGAAAACATAGAAAAATAGTACTAAAGAAAGAGGCAGTAGATTTTATAATAACAATTTTCCAATGCATCATTATCTCTCATCTTTTTTGTTTAGCAGTGGACAGTTAACGGCTGGCATGATGATGATGATGATGAACACACATGATAAGACTCGGAAAGACTTGAAATAGAAAAAGAATGACTGCTTATGTGAAACATGAAAAAATATTGGTCTCAATAGAAGTGATTTAAAAGTGTTCAACTGCAAAACAACAAATATAATTTTTATTTATTTATTTATTTATTTTTAGATAACTGGGATCCATTCTTGTTAGTAAGTGTACTTAAAAACTATGTTAATACTTAATTACTAATAATAATCTAGTCCTCTCGGAGAGCATTTTCACGAGAGGACTGTCCAATTTATTAACAAACATGTTCAGGATACTTTTTATTAGATAATTTCCCCAATGCACTCTTTCTTTTCTTAAAAAAATTGTATTCTATAATTTAAGACTCTACTGTAAAATAAAGTGTTAGAAACATACAAACAAATAATGAACCTATGTTAAGCTTGCCTTATACATATGTGCAAAACTTTTATTGGCTTTTAAATTATTTTGTAAGTGTATAATTATGTACTGTTAGAGCTGTCTGTTTGTCTTAAATAAATAAATATATAAATAAAACTGCACGACCTATCTACCCAATACCGTAAATATAAAACAGTAGGATTATTTAAATTTCCAAGCGGGTGAATTCCTGTGCGCCGCGCACAGCGCCCTCTCCATGGCCGCCGCCATTCACAGTAGAATTTTAATTATTTTTAGGATGTCCCTCGGAGCCCCTTCTATTGTTCCCACTGAAGTTTTAGCTCAGGTCAAGTAATTTACATATAAATATGTTATAAAAGAAAGCCAAATAAAAAGTTAAGCCAGAAGTCATTCTTTATTGTTATGAACAAAATATTTATATTTGGATAAAAATGTAATTTTTAATAATCCCGAACAGGGCCAGAGATGTTTTTTTTTTTTTACGGAAGTCGGGCAAGGTGGATTAAAAAAAAAAGAGATTTTTAATTTAACCATAATATATTTTATTTATTTATTCTCCACCAGCTTTTTGCTTGTTAATTCGTACGCATGGATTTCAAAAACAGATAAACCGTTGTAACAATCTATTTCTAAATGGCATTTCGAGATAAAATATACATTAGACTTTATGGTAGACTTTCAGGAATACAACTGTGAGTTCCGCGTGTAATATGGTGCAATAGTTTTTGCATGATGCCGAAACAAATATATATAGACAGACAGACAAAATTTGTATAAATTGTTAAACATAAAATTTTTCCTTTTTTCAGTTTTTTAATTATTATTTTAGTGTTTTTAATTTTAACTAAAATTGCTTTTTTTATTTTATTTATTTATTTATTAAATACAAGAAATTTACAAGAGCGAGTGCATTAGACCCCGCACTAATGTAATACGTAAACGTTTATTATTTTAAAAACTTCTTTCGATTTCGCGCCATTTCGTATATTTTTTCGTGTTCATTATCAAATTACAATGTGCAATAAGCTTTCTTTAACGTAATCGTGAAAACTATGAAAACTTTAGTTATTACAATGTTCTTATATAGGATAGGTACTTAACTTAGTTAAATAACTTAACTAGGATTCTTCCAATATGTATGTAAATAGAATTAATTGAGTTCTTTTGTTTCAGAGGCGAGAGCACAAATCTCGGGGCCGACAGACAAATATCTCAAGCCCGGCTCCACACTGAGGCTCCAATGTTCCGTAGTGCAGACAACGGAGGCGCCTGCCTTTGTTTTCTGGTAGGTTCCTATTTAAATACACAATTAGGACTTAACACGATGAAAATGCTTTTACAGGTATACAGTACCCACATACTTGCTTCTTTATTGCCGACGTTTCGATTCGGATTGCACCGCGTCGTGGTCACGACAGGACTGAAGTGAGCGGCGTAGTAGCAGCTCGCGCTTTTTTTCGAGTACCCTCACACTGTCACCATTGTTCTCTAGAACCACCCTACACACCGCATTCACGATAACCACAATGCGTTTAAACAAATTATCGCATGTTAGTGTACTAATCACTGGGTTCCATGCTGATGAAAGCCTAAATCTTCCGTAATGAAATTTTTCGGATTTTCCCTAATTTCAATTGTTTCACGTACTATCCCAGGATAACAGTGACGCTCATATATATATATATATAATAATGAGTAGATAATATTTATATTATTATATGTATTACATCTCCCATATCTAGAACTAACAAAAAATTTTTCATCGTGCCTCCTACCAAATTGTTTATAATTACTCCTCTCCATCCAAAGTTGCCTGCAAGAGATCGCTCTTAGCGATAAGGTCGCCCGTTGTTTTCTCATTGTGATTATTTCTTGTAATTATTTATATCTATAATAAGTTTACTATTGTAATCTTTTGGAGGAAACAATAAAGAGTATCTATCTATCTAAGAGTATCTATCTCAGTAGATAGAACCTTTGGGTCATGCATCACGACGTGGTGCAATCCACGTCAAAACCTCAGCAATAAAAATCAGAAGTATGTAGGGATTGTTAGCAAAGCAGTTTGACAGCCCCACTGCTAGCAATATGCCCTATTAGGTCGACCCCCACGTGGTTCCCCCTGGAAACCATCGGGAACAATTCTTGTTGAATTCGTCACGATGGGCTAACTGACCTACTTCATCCTCACCTATCATCATTCACTGGAGCTCCGCCGGTGTATACCGATAGCGCGGGTGAGGTTATCATTCCATTGCCACCCTTTAAAAAAAAATTTCATCACCAGACCTCAAGATTTATTGCTTTCTAAATATAGATATCTGTGTTGCGTTCTTGTTCTTGCAGCTCGGAGTTAGTTTATGCTATCATAAGCTTGCAATTAGCCTAAATTTCCCCTTAATTACCTTGTTGGCCTATGCAAGAGCATTGCCAAATCCAGCTGCCAAATTAGCCTCTATGTACTGTCTATTTAATTAAACAATCAAATAATACTTTCCGCTTACTGAAATTAGAGTAGAAGATCAAGTTTCTCTTTTTTTTTTTTTACAATAGTTGTTAACATAATATACATTTACATGTTGTTAACAATAGTCATTTGTTATTTTTAAAACACACTCACATGCAAAATTTCAGCTTTGTGAACGCTTACTTCTTAATAAGGAATATTTTATAAATTTTAAACCCGTAATTGGCTGTAAGTACTTAAAATAACACTAAAATATTATACGTTTTTAAGAGCCGTAGATTTTGTAATAAATTATTAATAAGTTTTCTCTAAAATCTTTATTGTGCATAAAAAATATGTATGAATGAATGAGTATACTTTGATTGCATTATACAACATAGGAAATAAGCAAGACAATTCACAAACACAACGATACAATTGTATAAGTACAGTAAGGCCTATGTACCTATACAAGGAGTATTTATACAGAATGTGCACATACAAAAGGCGGCCTTATCGCTAAAAATCAATCTCTTACAAGCAACCTATTTTTTTAAATACAACTTAGAATAGTAAACAAGCTGACAGCCTACCTGATGGGTAGTGGTAACCGTCGCCTATAGACATGAGCAGTACCATGGACATAACAGAGTATACTGTTTCAACCATGATACCCCCCATGCGTTACCATTCCTGAGGACTCAGGTGTTATTCCTCTGTACCCAGTAAATTCACGCCATATCTCACCCTTTAAACCGAAAGCCATGCAAACACAACTGCTTCACGGTTGAAATACGAATGGGACAGAGGTACCCAAGCAATCGACTTTTGTACAAACTCTCCCTCTGGTTAATAGCACACATACAACAGAGAACATAGAAAAATAGTACTAAAGGAAGAGGCAGTAGATTTTAAAATAACAATTTCCCAATGCATCATTATCTCTCACCGTTGAAAAACGCAAATTGTTCAAACAATTTTGAAATCTATATACGTCCATAACTTCTCAAACTGCAACTAAACAACTGGAATAACATTAAAAACACATTGTAGAACATTTTGTTTTGAAGAAACTATCTCGAAAGTTGGCGAAACTTTGAGCATTTCCGATATCTTTGTTTCATACTTCGAACTATGTTCTTGTTGAACTGGAAGTAGGAAATTTTGAACTCGCATTCTCATTTGTATGTGCATCCCACCCTCCTCTCTCCTGATATTACATACGTAAAAGTTTCCATGTTTGATGTGAACAGATTTCAAATTTGAATATCAAGTCATATATATTTGTATGTATATATAATATATAAATATATAGGTATGTATTTTGTATATATTTATAATATTGTTCGGTATGATATTTATATTAACAGGTAATTTTTTTTTTAAATAATGTATTTTCGCCACCACTGCCTTCAAATGCTTTCCGTTTCTAATATTTTTTTTTATGAGTGTTAAAAAAATGGTAACCCCACCTGCGGTATCGGTATACGCTGGCGGGGCATTAGTAAGGGATGATAGGTGAAGATGAAACCAAGTCTCCTAGTCCATCTTGACGAATTCCAGAAGAATTAAACCATTACAATTTCCAGGGGGAACCATGTGGTGTTCGACCTGATAGGGTATATTGCTAGCAACAGAACTAGTAGACCTCCATTACTAACAATACCTTTTCCTCTTTTATCTAATGGTTAGCTGGTAGACAATGCCATATGGCATTGAAGTCGCTATTTATACAAATTTTATTGTTTAATAAAGAATAAATAAATATATAGCATTTATATGTATTTTTTAATATCTTACTAATATAATAAAATTGTGTTCAGACGATGTCTGTACCTGACACAAGAGACAATTAAGAATAATTTATGTGAATGGTCTTAATAAAAGCAATAGAAGCAATATTTTAGAAATGTTGACTGTCTAACTGTCAATATATTTGTTCTGGCAACACCCAAAAAGTGCTGCACTAAATCAGATGCGGTTTTCACAGTTATATTTCCAAAGATCTAACTTAAAAACTGATGTATACTTTATCTTGATACGTCATGTAAAGGTACAATATTTATATGATTTTCCTAAGTCTAAAATCCACGCGTGCGACGCAGCTGGCATAAAACGAGTTATACATAATTCGAGTACACGATATTAGAATACAAATTTCGAGTATTTACGATACTCGAATATTACTCGCGTATTTATTGTAAGCGTACTACTGTCCGTGCATCCTCATGCATTCATTTTTACCTTGTGCATCTAGTTTAAATTAATTTTCCCTGTACAGTATTATAAGGGGAATTTAAAAAAACGTATCCGCAAACATTTAAAAGACTAGCAACGCCCAAACAACTCCTCTCATGATGCAAGTGTCCAGGGGCGACGGTGGTCGCTTTCCATCAGTCGTCTGCTCGTTTGCCTCTTTAACAATAAAAAAAAAAAGTTTTATGATTCCATTTTATCCTTTCATTATTCCTTTAATAATAACCAAAAAAAGAAAAATGTTTGAGTATTATCTTCCTTAAAAGTGAGTTTTTGGAATTAATTTAAAAATTATACGAGCTTGTTAAATAGTCGAATATCCACAACTACTCGAATATAAAACTCGAGTATGTATATAAACTAGTTACTTGTATAGACAAATCATTATAATTCGTCATGGATACATCCATTATTTTATTTCAGTCCAATAAATGAGTTTAGCGTTAACACTCGAACGAGCCATTAGGTTTGCATCGAGACGAATGTGAATACTTGTCTTATCCGCTGACACTGAAAAGGGCGGGAATCGAGAATCGTTTGACAGTCGAATGACAAACGTTTGACACTTGAATGCGCGGGAAACATCGAGTGTTATCGCATTAAAAGTGCTCCAAAGGCTTCGTTTCTAATTAAATATTTTAATGTTGTTATTTAATTTAAAATTCTAGGAAGTAAACATAATATGTATTTCAAAATATATATATTTTGAAATTATTATATCAGCTATTAACAGTTCACTGCTAAACATAGGCCCTTAATAAGTTTTGCCAGTAGTTGCCATGTTTGGCGTGCGAATTGGCAACTGCAGTTCGGCTTTGGTGATTTTTTAAGAGTTGTTTTAAAAACTAAACTACTAAACCGATTCTGATAAAATTCCTATGGAACTAATCTGTTAACATATTCTTTCAAACAAAAGAGGGTATTCCAAATCGGTTTTAAAGTGATGGAGTTATGAGGTCACAAACATAAAAAAAAATATAACCGAATTGAGAACCTCCATCTTTTTGAAATCGTCTGGGCCCATAACCAGTAATAAAAAGATAGGTTTTAAAAGAATAGGTGTAATTCAGATCAGAGCAATAACACAAGTGAAAGTTAAACAAAAGATTAATTCCATTTTTTTAAGAAACTGCCAGATATTCTCACTAAAGATCTAACAAAAATGAATAATTTACTTACTAAAAACACAATCTAAAGAACTCTCTTGTGAATATTCAATAGAAAACAAACAAATAATTCTAGATTGAGGAAGGTAAATCCATTTTCTTGGAAGTATACCTTTTAAAAATAACTTACAGCGTCTAGTTACTGAGTCTTGTTAAATGAAAAACAGTAAAAGACTTTAATGGGATGAAGGCATCGTTACTCTGTAACACAATATCTGAACGGTAGTTTAACTAACACCTGAACATTGGAAAGTCTAAAAATATCTAACTAGAGAACTGTTTAAATGAGTTTTTATAACTGAGAGTTCTAAGTTTTTTATGCATCTTAGATTAGAATTTCAGTAAGCTGACGGCCCGACTGATGGAAAGTGGTAACCGTCAACACTAAATGATTACCTGTAGAGACGTCATGAATATTTATTTATTTTATTTATTTATCTTTTATTGACCACATTACAAAAAATGTTTGATACAAAAGGCGTACTTAGTACTATATAGCATTTTCTTCCAATCAGCCTTTGGCATAACAGAAATGTAAACATATAGTGAAAAATTGAAAATTGTTGTGAGTAAACACAGAAGTATATATAAAAAAAATATGAAACATACTAGTTTCTTGCCCACTACTTTGCACGCGTGGATTTTAGATGTATAATGGTTTGTACACAATGTGGTTTTAAACCCCCTAATTTACTATTCCATCTGTCCAGGTACCACAACAGCAGAATGATAAATTACGACATCGAGCGAGGTATCAACGTGACCACGGACCCTGCGCAGAGACTGTCCGACCTCCTCATACCGGCTGCGAGCGTCTCGCATGCAGGAAACTACACTTGTGTTCCTAACAACGCAGTGCCGGCGAGCATATGTGTCCATATATTTAATGGTAAGTATTATGAAAATGGCCATGTAAGACCCGGCATAGAATAGGCCACCCCATCCTTTCCCGTGGACATCGTAATAGGCGACTAAGGGAGCTTATGTTGAAAGGATGGGCAACAGCGTCCCTCTTAAAACATGACCAAAAGCTAAACTGCGTTTGCCAATCTATATGCAAAGCGTGGTAAATACTAGCAAAACTTCCCTTATGGAGGAGGCTATGTTCAGCAATGGACAGTTAACAACAACACCAATTAAAAGTAAATTGCAGGCAGTGAATACAGTTCTATATGACAGTCTATGGAGAGGTCTATGTTCAGTAGACAGATAACTACAGATATGATGCTGAAGATGAATAAAAAAATATATTTAGATATAACCCGAAGAATAAGCAAAGTGGTAATGGGTTAACCTTATAACTCGGAGAACAGACAACCAATGTGGAAGAAAAGATCTTGAGTAGCTATCCGATATTTACAAAAGCAGCCTAAGACAGTCTCCTACTCGATAAACTGAGAGTCTCAAATGCATTGCAGGTAGTCAGTGAATACAAGTGTCTTAAGACCATTCCTTATAGCAATCTAAGCTGGAGGACTCTGGCGATTACGAGCTGAAATGATGATAATGATTATGAAAGTACTAGAAGTATGGGTATAAATAATTGTCTGTATATAACATGAGAATAAGATGAACTTGCTGTTTTTCGCTTCCGACAATTATTTCGAATTTAACCGGAAGTCTTCTTCCGGAGGCATACGGAGTACGGTTTCCATCGCACCATCTTGTTATTTTTAAAGTTTGCCGTAGTGTAGATACATGAACAATGCTTATTTAATTAATTTTTAACTCTTCTTCTGACTCTTGGCTAACTGTTGGACCATTCGTTATGAAATTAGATATATGCATACTCTGTGGAAAAGATTTCGATCACGAATATCGTCAGTTTATTCGCTATTCTAAGTATCATTAAGAAAAATTAAGAAAGATATAGCTTATTTTTTATCACAGTCAATAATCCTGATCTCGCCAATGAAAGTACTTGCATATACTTTGTTCTCCTGTTATATCGTGATGATAAAATTGTAATAATGATTGTTAGAAACGACTATTAAGCAAAACATAGAAACATAGAGAGAGAGAAATAAAAGAAAAAGCAGGAAAAGAAGCAAAACTAGAAGTAAAAACCGTTATTAAGATACACGGTTAACGTGATACGTTAATATCCTTCCTTTTGGATCTATCCATTTCTACAATTAGATCCATAAGGACCATAAGGAATTGTTATAATTATGATAAAAACACAACGTAACATTTCTGACTTATCGATACTTTAGTAAATAAATTTTAAAATCCACTATAATGTTGATTTCCTCGACCCAACGACATTCGGGCACATAAAAATGCCAGTTTAAATGTCAATAAATTTGTAACTGGACTATTTATTTGTTTTAAAACGTTTACAGTAAACACATTCACGGTTTAAAAGCCATCTGAAAATATTGGGAGTTGGAGAAAATTATGGGGTTTATCGTCGATAAATCAATGGTAATTGTAATTCATCAACCACATATAAAGCGATGATGGATCTTGTTGATTTTTTAAAGGCTGTTACTGAAATTATTACTCAGCTCACATAACAGGTTTACGCTAGTTGGCCAGCAGTGATAACAAATTGGTAGCCATAAAGTCAGGTCCGTTGGCCTTTCGGAATAAGCTCGTCAAGGATTAACCGTAATAGTTTCCAGAGTGAATGGCACCTGACAGAATGTGGTATTAGCAGTAGGATTGTTAATCTCACCGTTATAAATAATATCTCCTATCCTGCATCTATATATTGAACCGTGGAGAAGATGGAAGAGAATGAAGACAGAGATGCCAATATTAAGAAACTTGTCTGGGACAACAAAGAATAACTGAATATATATTCAATGCCCAAGGAAGTATACCTCTGTCCTATTCGTGTTTCTACTGTGAAGCAGTTGTGTTTGTATGACTGTGTTTCGATTTGAAGGCTGGGATATGACAATGAATTTACAGGGTACAGAGGAATTACACCTGAGTTCTCAGGAATGGCAACGCATGGGGGTATCATGGGCGAAACAGTATACTCTGTTATATCCATGGTACTGTTCATGTCTATAGGCGACGGTTACCACTTTCTATCAGGGAAGCTGTCAACTTATTTGCCATTTTAAGTTGCATAAAAAAAGAAAAAAATAAGCCTCCTCCTTGGGGGTTTTGTCAGTAGTTGCCAAGCTTGGCAGGCGAATTGGCAACCACAGTTAGGCTTTAGAGATGTTTTAAGAGGGACGCTGGTGCTCATACTTCATCCTCCTTTAGTCGTCTCTTACTTAGAATGGCAAATTCTAAGTTGCGTAAAATAAAATTCGAAAATTGAATCAGTAACAGATAAGTTGCTATATGACTGTCTCAATATAAGCATCTCATGCAGAAGAATGAAAGCTATGTTTTGAATTAGGTGTTAAATGTAGGTAAATGTAGGTCAGTGAACAGAAAAGGATCGACCAAAAAAAAGGTTGAATTGTGTAAAAGATGTAATACGTGAAAGAGAAATATGTTTAGGTATAATAACTGATAGTAAAAGAGGTGCAACATCGGTCCCAAATAAACGAGATAAAAGCACGACTTGGTTAAATATGACGATGATTAAATATGGTATTCAAAACAAATCAGATAAAATCAAGGAGATTATTCAATTATTTAACTAACTAAATTGAAAAATGAACATGTAATTAATTTAATTAGAACATCAATTTTTAAATCACTTTTAATCTCTTTCTGATAATTATTTGATGCGTATCACGGATAATGGACAAAGCAATATTTTTTGAAAAAAAAAATGGTAATATACGTACCTTGATCAAATTATAGCATGCGTTTCGCTGCAATAAAATATCTATTCCCGTAAGAAAGTTCAAAAAATCTCCGTCCAAATGATATGGGCACATTGTGTCTCAAAATAACTCGAAATTCGACTTATTTCAATGAATTATCTTTCACAGATGAAAACCCAGCGGCAATGCAGTCTTCATCGCCGAGTCTCATCTCGCGTCTCAATTCCAACGGCTTCTTATTACCCACACTTACTACACTCCATCTTCTACGGTGACAATCATTACACTAACTACCCTAGTCATTTGCTGGTAAAGTATAACGTACTCTATATATAATAGCTACAAAGTCCATGTTCGCGTGAAGCGAAACGCGTCTGAGAGAGACTCAAATGACGTCGTTACAAGCATAATCGGGTAAATGAGAGTGTTAGGCACAGATTATTGTTTAAGTGTGAAATGTCTTTATTCTGTGTAGTGTAACGTACATGTTTCAAGCACAGTATGACATGTAAAATAGCAAGATAATTAGAGAAGAAACACTTCAAACAAAGGTACAACTTGAGATTAATTAGTGAGATATTGTACTAAATTATTTCATTGCCGAAACAGTCTTAACTCGGAGCGTTTCGTTTTACGGTAATTGTAAAAACTGATTTTAAACAATCATTGTAAAGTATAATAGTATGATATTTAATAAGACTACTTGTATTATTTGTTGATGGAATTATTGTGTTTAAATCTAATAAAAAAAGTTAACTATCTACCAGAGATAAGAGATAATAAATCATTTAGTTTTCATAGTAACGCTGTCTCAGTTCAGTCACCTCTGTGACTACATTTCAAAGGCAATTATTGGATGTGGAAGTATAAAACTTATTCCATGTAAATAGCCATGCATATATCTATAGACGACGGTTGCCACTTTCAATCAGTTGCTTATCACTTCAAATTGCATAAAAAAGTACGATTTCAAGTCCTTAATTTGATGCCACCAAACCACCTAGACAAAAAACAAACGAATCTGATAATAGAATAGAATATCGCTAATGAGTCCATAACATAGAAACCACTTATAGAATCGTTATCTCTGACTAATTTATGAGATAGAATGAGATGGCAATGTATGCTGTCTTATTCTTTCTCGTTTGAGTGTCAACCGAAAATATTCTATCGACAGATACATTTGTAACGATGTCTAGAGAAAGTAAGTATGTAAAGATTTATCATTTTACTTTCTGTTACTTTTACGGCTATTCACGTAATCCTGAAATGTGAAACTGTAGCCCTTCAACATTTAGAAATCATCGGAACAGTTCAGTCGCTTCGTGAAGCCAGAGAAGATACCAAGAAGCTCCTGTGCTTCTGGGCGGAAATGCGCTGGCTGTACTAGCCACGACTCATACGCACAATGGCCCAAATGAGAGGTTAAGCGCGGATAATAAAGTCCAATTTACATTTCTGTTACTTTAAAAAAAAAATAACAAACCCACTTGATAAGTGCAAAGTTTCTATCTATATATATGGACGTCTCTATCTTATTTTATCATTATCGATAAAATGAGATGCCATCGATAAATTCGTTTGCCAATTATCCAGAGCCCCCTATCAGTTGAGCAACGTTTAGTTCCTATACAGAGATCTCATTGAATCCTAGTCTAAACTCTCCTATTCTTTAAATTTTCATGTTCGAATCATTTATAAATTGCTTATCACATCCTTGGTGTTTCGGGCACAGTAAAGGACATCACAAGCCTATGTGTATAAAAAAGGTGATCAAGAATATTGACACTAGAGGGCACTGCCACCCTTATGTGACTAGTAATAGTATTGCGATTCACTCTACTTCTGCTGTCAGTCATTTGTCATATTCCGTTCTTTACCCATCTCGTTCAATTCCTCTCAGTTATTTTATTCAAACATCTCTAGTGGACAGCTAGCTTTAATATTATATACGTGAATGAGTCACGTACTCCCCTTTATTTTTATATTTTACACCTCTCGAGTTTTAGTTGGGATATCAGATGTGTCTCATCTTAATGCTGGTCGTTTAAAATATTACACGAGAAGGCTTTTGCAGAGTGCGATCAAACAAAAATAAATTCGAAAAGATATTTTTGGGTGATCATTTGAAATAGTACAAAGATATTGTGTGTGGATATATATATATAAAAAGAATTAGTTCAACAGAATTTACGTCTGCATTGATTCTAGCCTTATACTAATTTTGTTATTTTTTTTTTTAATATTCCAAAAAATATTTATATTAATATTTAAAGCGAAGGAGTTTGTTTGTTTGAACGCGCTAATCTCTGGAACTACAAGTCGGATTCGAAAAATTCTTTTTGCATTTAATAACTCCTTTATGGTTATAGGCTACTCGTTATCATGGTAAAACCATAAACGAAACCACGGGATATAGCTAGTATGATACAATTATCTTATTGAACAGTATATAGTTTATTTCCATATAGTTTTACTTCAAATGATCATGAAAATAAAATAATAAATAGATTTTTTTTTTATTGTTTGAATTTGTTTTTTAAAGTTGCCAGCACTACGGTGATAACACAGCAGGACATCTTAATACGTCCGCCTTTTTTCAAATTTCGAACAATAAAAACAAATGAAAAAAAAAAACATTATTTAGATTAATTTTAATTACGTAATTAATCTATAAATAAACGTAATAATTTTTATACTCCCATTATATATATATTTTTTTATTTATTGTTAGTTATAAATTTTACTATGTACCAGTTGAACTAAAGTTATGCATTATATTAATGATTCTTTTATTAGTCATCAAAATTTTTATCAAGAGAAAGAAAAATATTGTAATATACGTACATACAAAATTATTACTACACTTATGTCAAAACTGTTTGTAATCATAATTCATTAATTAAATATTTTTAATGTATGTATTTCCTGAAATGTGTAAAATGTTTTAGTGTAAAATATCCACAAAGTGATACTGGTAATTTCTTAGAAAATTATAAGTTAAATTTTTTATTTATTTTTTTTTATTTTTAGTCTAATATAATTCATCTTAATTATCACTCTTTATATCTACTATATTCATGGTATGTCTTTTATTTTCTGCCTACCCTAATGGGAGACAGGCGTGACAGATATGTATGTATGTGTCTTTTATTTTTAAACATAATATCCATTTAATAAATTATTATAATGATGAGAGTAATGTTAATTATGTTTAAAAACCTATAAAAATAGATATTTTAACTATTATACTATTATTTATTAGTATGTTTAAATTATTACTGATTTATATATTTATCTGAATATAAACATAATACCAGTGTTTTGCTCTTTTAAGGGCAAAACAAATAAACTGAGTTGTGACCATTTTCTGTTACTTGTTTTATATATTTTGCTTTGTTTGTATATGCATTCTTTTTACCTCTTTTTAATGTGTATGTTTGTCGTTATTTGTGTGCTGTAAGTAATGCAAATAAATTATTTATAAAAATATATAATCTTTTTTTATATTTATGTAAACTTGTTATCAATTAATCATGTATATTTATTCATTCATTCATTATTTTTACGTAGTTTTACATTTTATTTTAAAGTACCGCCATCAAACATCTCTATTCCATGGTTAAATAGTGGGGAACGCCTTTAGTACTTTTATTTATATATATTTTTGTTATATACATAAAAGTTAAATAAATATTTTTTTTTCTAAATATGAAGCAAGTATTATAAAGCTATTGAATAAAGCACCAAACATATATTAATACACGAAAGATATAGTGGAAATAAAATTTTATACCAAACTATGTGCCCAGTACAATAGAAGTAAACTAATCATTAATAATGAAGTCATCTAAATAAAGAAATGCCCAGTAACAGAAGTTCTATTAATTTAATACAAATATAGCCGAATTATTTTCCTTCTCAGTCTATTTTTAATCATTATTACGGTAATATTACTGTATGTAACAGCCATACATAAATGTCAATATATCTTTTTATGATTTCTTTATATCTCTATAGAATATAATATATACTCTTATAATATATATTCTACCCAAAGATATTTAATTCCATTCGCTTGAGTTATTGATCACAAATACCACAAAAAAAATATTTATACAATTACATTCTGTATAAAAATTATTACAAGTATAATTATTATTTTCGGCATTACTCGCGTGTTTCACTTCGGGATTGCTCCTCTAGTTTCGGACTAGCATACAGCACTGTACAAGTTCCGCGCAGTGTTGCTAAGAACATACCCGTAAAATTGATCTGCTATTGAGTCCGAAACTAGTCAAGTAATCCCGAAAGTCAATACAGAGTACACCGAATTTTGCCTAATTTATCGTTACTAATATTTACGAATATAAAGTGAGTTCGTCTGTTTGTTTTTCTATTTATTTATTATCTCTTAGCACTTTAACGATTTAACCAATAATCATGATATATGGAACACACGTATATGTACTGTTTCTGAAAGAGAAGGCTACCCGATCGACCCGGTTACGCGGGCGAAGTCACGGTTAAAAGCTAGTAATTTAAAATTGAGTATAACTCAAAATAATTATAATTAATCAACAAAAGTATGATTATGGTTATTTTATATTGGAAGCTAGCTATTTCCCATGGCTTCGTCTGAGCCGATTCGTATTCTTTCATTTTTGTTAAAATTTCGGGAAATAACTTTATACTCGTTTATGTTATAAAAATTTATCTTAGTATTTACGTCTGTACGTTAATATGTTAGTTACTAACTCCTTTTATATATAGTAATAGGTATAGATAATTGTTTAATTTGTTATTTGAAGGCAAATCAACGTTGTATTTTACTTTTTCCTTATCCTATGGGGTAAAAAATGTTTTGTTACTAGATTTTTCACTTAGATGAGGATATATATGCCTACTAATATTATAAAGAGATAAATGTTTGTATATAGGAGGAAATCTTAATATCCCTGAAATTGATTACTTACTATGAAATGATAGGAATGAAGAGATGTCTTTCAGGATTGTCAAAGTGATTGAAGAAGCACAGATATTAGGATAAATATAATACAACAGTTTTTATCGAGAAGTTATAATCCTTTCTCATTTTATGACCATAATCATAATAAACACTTTTGCGCACAATAGAGAGATTTATACAAGGAGTATTTATACAGAATGTGCATATACAAAAGGCGGCCTTATCGCTAAAAGCAATCTCTTACAGACAACCTGGAGGCCATACCATATGGAACTCCACTTTCTTTTAGTTTATCCGTTATTGGAACTTTGAAAATTTCTTTCACATACTCATTGCGTATTTTGTTCATACACATCATACAAACATTAAAATTTTTCTCATTTACAATATTAGTGGTATTTTAAATAGAAATAAATTTATATATTATTATTATGCATGTTTCAGTTTGTATAAATACATATTTTGAAAAAAGTTATCTGTTATGAAAATATAATTAATTTATTTTTAATTATACATATATTATCAGTGAGTAAAATCACTATAAAATATTATGTATATAAATCATTAGTATCGTTTGTGATAATGGCGCTCATGAATGATTGTTAATATTTGTAAATACATTGTTAGAATAAGTTAAACCACTTATAAATATAAATAACTGTTCATTTTATCTGTTGTTTTATTTTTAACTAACATCAAGAATGAAAATGTTGCTCTCAAATCGATTTTATTTTTGTATCTCTGTATTGCGCAATATCTTATTATAAAGAAGTAAAAATAAGTTTCTCAATTTATATATAATTGTTTTAGGATTGTATCACGCGATAACATCATTAATTCTGAACCAATTCCTTTAACACTTTTTGCAAACAATATTTTTTTTTTCTGTATTGGTCTTATTTATTTTTTACTATTTATTTCTATTATACACTTAATATTAAAACATTTTATATAATTATAGTTTCATTGTAATTCAGTTCGTGCGGTCACAGCATAAAATAGGCTATCCCTTCCTTTCCTGTGGGTGTCGTAAAAAGCGACTAAGGAAATTTAATGGTCGACGGATGGACAGCAGCGTTCCTCTTTAAACATTTCCTTGGCCTAACTACGGTTGATAACCTTTAAGGACATAACGTAGAACATCCAGATCCAAGCAAATTTAAAAAAAATATTTTTTAAATTGGCTCGAATGAGAATAGAAACAGAGACCTCATAACTCAAAATAATGTATCTATCATACATAGTAGCATACAAGTCAAACAATTTCCTACGCATAGAAATAAAAAGTGACTTAGGACAATCTGCCAACCAGTACAGCATTGAATATATATATATTCAACCTTAAAACTTAAACCACTAACCGGTAATGATCAAAATACTTTAAACTTTGAACTATTTACACAAATTACTATACCATTAAATGAAATATGTGATCAGCTAGTCAATTAAGTTTCATGTCACCAAAATACTGTTTAATCCTAAATGTTTAGCAAGAACACTTAAACTTAAGCAGAATTAATGAAGCATTTAACCTCTACTGAGTATCAAAAGGATCGTGTTTGCTTTTCCGGATAAACGTGATGTAATGGCAATTAGTTCCAAGACACAACCTTAGCTTTTAAATTTAAAAATTAAATATAGAGTAAGGCTATAATTATCCCAAAGTGACGTGTTTTAAGTAATCAAATATGAGATATATATACTTAATGGGATTTTTTTACTCAAGCTCTGAAGATTTTTTGATCTCCAATTATATCCCCAATTTGGAGTTTCTACGTCAAATATATAAAAAAAAAAATATTTTTAATGATTGGGATTCACTTTGAAAGATAAATTACATTCATTAATTATTTAAACCTGGACTAATGCTTGAACATACTGTAGTATTAACAGTAGTACTTTCTGATGTATGTTTAGACATGTGATAATGGAACGAAATTGAATATTTAGAAACAGTTAGAAATTTTAAAACATAAACGATCCAATATGCTACTAATAAACCAACAAAAAAAGATATAAATAAGCAATTCACCTCTTTTAGAATTATTTTCTATACCCAGTCATCATAAGATCTAGAAAAAAAGAACCTGCACTTTCTCCTCGATAAATACAGTAAAACGCAGCAACAAAAACTCATACCGTATTCTTGCAATGACTTGCACTTGCACGATATTACCACTCACACTCCTTCTTATTAAAAAAGTATAAATGCTGTAACACGACCTAAAATTATTCATTGGCAGTTTGGGTGCCGAACGGCTAACACTAAACTCCAAGTAGTGATCTATTGCCTGAAGATGCCTCACTGAGAAATGAAACATGTGTGGCAAAACATCAGTGAACATAATGGCAGTTGGAGATTAATTACTAAGATTAAGAAAATTCAAGTAACGGTGGTAAATTTTCAAATATTGGCATTCGTACACATTCTAAAAATAGCGAAATTAAACAAAATAATTCTAAGCAATTAACCAGTGATATGGAATTCTGCAAAATACCTAGTTTAGTGAAATAGTAAGTAGCAGCGGTAAGTCTTTTTACGTCTTAATACAGTACTATTCCAACTTTTTCCTTAATCCGTCTAATGTAACTTAGTAAGCATACCTATCTCTTCTTCAGTGGTTTCCCTAGATTGTTTAATTTCCCTTCTATAATAAAGTATATGAGTTCATCGTGACGCATCAAGTATTTTCCCTTTCACGAGAAGAAATACGATGATTTTTAAAATCTGTCCTTTCCTTCCTTCCGTCGTTTAACTTTATGTACTTGTGAAATTACGGGGTACAGGGGCATAGCCCACTTTTCAGTAATGCACAAGGATGTCGCGGTGTTCTTCAACTTCTCTTAAATCTCTTAAATCTCACATTTCTAATATTGTATTCTGTTCACAGCGACATAAAACTAAAGTCACAATCAAGGACGACGCAATAGCATCTTAGAATCTAATTTATACAGATACCCAGATGAATATTATTGATTAGGGCGAATTTGGAAGCGTGTCACGTTTCGAGCGGCCGTTGTAAGGGCCACCATCATTACTAAGATTATATTTAATGGAGTACATTCTGAGTATTTCTTATCTGACGGTGAGAGTTTCAAAGAGCAAAGTTCCGTATTGATTTTATGTTAAATGAAATTTTCGATTGATTTGTGATTGCCCTAACTGTTTTCTGAAATTGATGATTTAAAAAAATAATGTGTAAGTAGCAATAAATGTCTTATAAATACATTCTCATGCTAATTTTCTTAAATTATCTACTTATTCGTTGATTTGTTGTATCACCCATTAGTTTTTACCTACTAATAGCTTTTGACTTTTATTTTAAGGGATTTTTCTAGATTTGCAACACCTGTCAAGCGAATTGGACTTTGCAGTTTACTTCTGGTAATGTTTAAAGAACGCTGCTGCCCATCTCTCCACCGTAAGCTCTCTTCGTCGCTTAATAATGAAATAATATTTTGCATTATTTATTTCTTTAGAAATGAACCAATGAATGAATAACTATAAACGGATATATTTATATCTCATTTTAAGTCAACTAAAGTGTTAAATAAAAATAATAATGTAATTAATGACAGAGCATTGTAAGAAGGTTTTTTACTTGATTACAGTCAAGCAACTGAATGGACATAAAGGTCCACCGATGGATACAAAACGAATACGAGTATAATAATCCTAAATTAAGGTATAGCAGTCTTACCTTAATTACACAAACAAAGCCACAGTTTATAGCTGATAACAAATTAGGGATGAAATTACCGTCGAACTTATATAAATTTGGGGTTAGAAATGTGAAATTTAAATCTAATGAGAATACTTGGGTGATGTTTTCGTTAAATATTGCTAGACTTAATTATGTTTGTATGTTGTATCTTCTTAATTAAATTATAATATAAAATTACACACCCCTGAGGCATGTCTATCAGAAAGAAGACATATGAGACATGGACAAAGATGTAGAATTAAATGTTTATAATTTTGTTCCACTAATAATCGCAAGAATTGTAATATGTTTTAGACACTTTGTTCTGTCTGATGCTGGTATTTATCTTGTATCTGAGTAGTTTATGTGTGTGAGTGTGTGTATATGTGTGTGTGTATGTGTGTGAGTGTGTGTATGTGTGTGAGTGTGTGTATGTGTGTGTGTGTGTGTATGTATAATGTACAGTATAATGTAGATAACATTAATACTATAGGTACATTATTGTAAAATTACTGTTTCAATTTCAATAGCATCATGTTGAACCGTTAATTATATTATTGTCGACGCTTGAATAGTAGATAACGCCGTATAGTGTTAAATCCACCATTTCCACTATCTAAATGTATTAAAGTTTAATAAATAAATAAAAAAGTATCGAGTTTAACGTAATAGAAGCTGACAAAGAAAGAAGAGAGGGGAGAGAAAATTTTGGAGTGATGAATTCATATTACCAATACTCATGGGAGATTGTTACCCAATGACGTCAAAAGTCTAGGTCATTTGTACCAATTGATTTTTAAATTATAACCATCCAAATATTAATTAAAGAGTCCAAAGGCGTAGGTTGGAATTTAATCTTAGGATCCCCGGACTGCAGTGAAGCGTTATCCGACTAAACGATGATATTTTTAAATAGATTTTGTATCGCAATAAGCAGTATTTTGCTTTTTCAAAAAAAAAAGCGGCTTCTATATAACAAAATTAAGAATGTATAATTGATAACATAATTTCATAATATGAAGCCATAAAAAATCGATAAAATTAATAATCGCTTTAGAAAGTTCCATAAATATTTCATCTTGTATAATTAAATGCAGATTCCCGACTCTTTTCAACGTCAACAGAATAAGCCATGATGTGTAGCCGGACATAAACTTTTTCCATTCATCATACAATAAGTCGTCCTCATATTTAATGGCGCAATTTACCCAAAGAATTTCCATCATTTATGGCACAACTCAGAAAAACCGGAATATTTCAAGTGATATTCACGCAATCAGTGTTCGGTTGATAAATTTATTCCCCACCTTATTAACAAGGCTTATGAGTTCATTTTTCATGTTTCTCAAATGTAAATAAAATTGC